ATTGTGAAATCATCTCCCAAATTTTTTTTTTTTTTTTTAAATGAATTTAAAGTGTATATAAAATCCTTAAAAACTCTGAAAGGTCCTAAAGCTCAAAAAATATATGATACCCTAAAACACTTCCCAACTGAGATAAATGGATGAAAAAGTCTGAATTTACCCCTTATGTCATGTATGTTTTATCTAAATACTTTTTGTTTTGTTTTTTGTGTTTTATTTTCCTTACCAATATCCTATTTTGTACTTGTCTACATTACATTCATGTTGTATTAAGTGCTGCTCCCTCTGGCTATATTTTTCTTATCCTATTCTGTAAAAAAGGAAGTTATGCAGCCATGTTTGTTTGTAAATCTTGATATTAGAAAAAAAAAAGGGTTGAGCACTCAAAAATCGGGCCGGAAGCAGTAAGCCGTCCGGTAACTTCTCCCCTACTCTTTTTTATATTTTTTTATATTTTTTTATATTTACCGTTTAATAATGCTGTCTGTCCATAGAAGAACATGACAGCCCGTGTATGTTTTTTTTTTTTTTTTGAACAATTATTCATGTACAAACAGTAAGGCAATAGTAACAATTCTTTACATTAGACAAACAAATACATACAGAACAGGTGCATGAAATAAAATAAACTTTAAAAAATAAATAAATAAAATAATGTAGGCAGGGGCTAAGGTTTTTTTTTTAAATCATACTCTTCTATGATGGATAAAAGACTAATTGCATTTTTCTTTTTTATCACTTTGAGGGCTTTTGTAAATTAAACAAATTCACCATGAAATGCACAGAACATTGGTTTCACCTTAAGGTATTTTCCCAAGCATAAGGATATTATTAACCAGGAAGTTATCTTAGTTATTATTCATTAAACGTCCATAAATAATGTCCTTTATAGTGAGGTCTTCGAGGTGAGGTATCTTTGGGTAGAGCCAGTCGTAAATATCAGACCATAAGGCCTCCACAACCATACAGTGAAAAAACAGATGCTCCGTGGTTTCAATATTATCACAAAATAAACATTTATTTGAGTCAAATCCAAATCTAAGTCGCAAATATTCACTCGATGGATATATACCATTTAAAATTTTAAAATGTACTTCTTTAACTTTGGGAGGTAACGGGAATTTTAAATACTCGGTTCTAAGTCTGTGAATGCTATCTTTTGAGAAAAAAAATGTGAAATTGAGTTTCTATAAACTAATATAGGATAAGAAATGTGGTTGAATTTATTTCTAACAGTTTTGTTTGAAAGTTGGCTTCCTTTAAAATCACGGCCTTCAACTGACAATACTGGAAGATGTGGGATTATAGAGACAGAATAAGAGAGAATTTCTTTAATTTGACATACGACAGCTTTAGGGATGGCTTTAGTAATAGATTCAAAACTGGCCCGATTGGAAATGAGGTTATATTTAACTAGTGCTGGGCCGTTATCGGCGTTAACGTGCTGCGTTAACGTGAGACTCTTATCGGGCGATAAAAAAAAAAAATATCGCCGTTAATCAAAGTTGGGTTGGGATCATAAATAGCTTTTTCGAATATCGTTATATTTTCGCGCAATTCTAATGTGTAGTATGACGCCGCGCCTACTGTCACAGATCGCGCAGTAGGGTATTTTCCTGTCAGGGACACAAGGTGTACTTTTACTTTGTTACGTTGGGCGACGTTCCTCTCGTTACTTTATTTTAATGCAATAAGTTGTTAATGAGTTTATTCCAAGCGTGCTGTGTCCTTTGTATGGGCATGATGGTCATTTACAAATGAATCACTCTTTTGAGTCGATTCTGTTCAAAGACTTCATCAAACAAGTTGTCAGATGATCTGTCTAAATCGGTTCGCGAATCAGTTGATCTGTTCAGTTCCTCGCGCACTGAATCGTCTGAAGCGCTTTCAATTCACACTCGGAGTCGAAACAGGAAGATTTAAGAGCATCAAGAGCGTTGGATGAAGTGGCCGATCTACAGTCTAGTCTAGTGAATGCAAATCTGCAAATGCATCATATTTTTGCCAGCGATGAAGATCTTTATTAGTTGAACATCTTCGTAAGCTGTCTGTGAATGAATGATTCCACAGGACGATACATTCGATTTCATTTCATTCAGGTAATACATTGTGTGTGTATTGCGCGTGTATTGCGCAGTGGCATAATCGCACGAATCGTTTACATTGATTGAAACTAATTTGTTTAAAAATGAGGCTATTGCAGTAACAAGGCAGGTTCACATAAAATTCTTATTACATATGATGACATTATTTTTTGATCTAACAAACATTGGCGATGCAAAAACGGACTGTACGTCGTGCGTATTGTTTTTTTTTCTTTTTCCAATTAGCCTACTATGTTAAAAAAAAAGGACGAAAACATGTTACTTGTTCAATTAATAAACAGTTTGTTTGATGACAAATCGCTAAAGATGAAATTGGCCTCCCTTTCTGTCATTGCGGTTTTTTTGTTTGTTTTTTTACGATATTCGACTTTTGCTCCTCGATTGTCGAATGGCATTTTTGGCAGAAATGCACATCCCTACGCGAGGCAAACTATTCTCAAAGACTTACTTTTAGTCATTATTTGGGTAGCACACATATGCCTTCGGGAGAATTCAAATGAGCCATTTTAATCTAGATTAATCTAGATTAATTTCAATATTAATCTAGATTAAAAAAAAAAAAATCTATGCCCACCTCTATATTTAACACAAAAATGCTCATATGATATAATTCCACTATTGCTGTCAATTAAATGGGACACAGACCAAATAGCTTTCTCAATCCAGATCTTGTCAAACAGTGATTTATTCCTGACCATAATATATCTATTGTTCCATAATGGTGTATTGTGTGGTGTAAAGTTATGATTATAAAAAATCTTCCAGTATAACAAAACCTGTTGATGAAAGTTGGATAATTTTATCGGCAGACGTTGAACGGTGAAATCACAATTTAGTAAAAATTCTTTTCCTCCTAATTTCTTAAACAATTCTCTGGGAATATGAAACCAAAAATTATTGTGGTTTAAAAAGGATTTCAACCAATTAATTTTCAGGGTCCCATTTATAGTATCAAAATCAATGGCTTGTAACCCTCCATCTTTATAGTCTTTTGTCATCTCTACCCTTCTGATGTAATGGGTTTTCTTTCTCCAGATGTAACCAAAGTTGACCTGATTGGTTTTTTTAATGGCTCTGTTTGAAATAGCTATTGTATATGCAGGATAGATTAATCTTGAAATGCTTTCCATCTTTGTCAAAAATACTCTACCTAATAAGCTTATATCTCGCAAAAGCCAGGAATTAAGTTTCATTTGACATTTATCTAATACTTTCCACACATTCATATTTTCATTTTCAACAGAATCTTTTGAAATAAGCATTCCTAAGTACTTGACTTTTGATTTTATAGGGATGTTATAGGCCTCAGTTAAGTGGCATTGATGAAATGGCATTAATTCACACTTGTTCAAATTCATTTTCAAACCAGAGGCTTTAGAGAAGGTGTTAATTATTTGTAAAATTTTTGGGACCTCAGTTAGCTGCTTCATGAAAATGGTAGTATCATCTGCAAACTGGCTGATGATTACTGGCTGGCCAAGTATATCTAATGGGGCTATGCATGAGTTCCTGATAAAGATAGAAAGCATTTCTGTTGCTATAATAAAAAGAAATGGGGAAATAGGGCAACCCTGTTTTATGCCAAGATTGATTGGAAATCTTGGTGATGTACCTCCTGATAAAGAAACCGAACTATTAGAATTTTCATAAAGGGATTTTATAATATTTCGAAATTTATCTCCAAAACCAAACAATTTTAAACAATCAAAAATAAATGGGTGTTCGATTGAATCAAATGCCTTGTAGAAGTCAATGAAGAGAATAAAGCCATCATCTTTTATTAGATGTCTGTAATCTAAAAGATCAAGCACTAAACGAATATTGTTGTGTATGGATCTCCCCTTCATAAAACCGGATTGGGAATCACTTATGATTTTATGTAAAAATAATTTTAATCTGTTCGCATATATGAGGGTTACAATTTTATAATCAGTGTTCAATAATGTGATTGGTCTAAAATTATCTAAAATTGTTGGGTCCTTATCAGGTTTGGGGATTAAGGTTATGACACCTTGTTTCATAGAGAGAGGGAAAGTCAAACTTTCAGTTGCTTCCTTTAACATAAGCAAAAAAGGATATTTTAGTAAATTCCAAAAGTGTTTATAAAAATTAGCCGTAAGGCCATAACATCCTGGAGATTTGTCTACACTGTAAGCCCTTACAGGTTGATTGAACTTAAAAAATTTATGGAAACTCATTGCCCTAAAAAAGTTAATTTTGTATCGTTGAAAAAACAACATATTTTAAGTTTAATGTACTTAAGATTTCAAATGCATTTAATTGAAAACTTTTAGTTCATAGAACTAACAGTTTTTAATGCAGTGCAATTGAAACTTTAGGTACATTAAACTTAAAATATGTTGTTTTTTCAACGATACAAAATTAACTTTTTTAGGGCAATGAGTTTCCATAAATTTTTTAAGTTCAATCAACCTATAAGGGCTTACAGTTTCCATAAATGTTTTAAGTTCAATCAACCTGTAAAGGCTTACAGTTATGCAGACAACATGTGAAACCTACAATCTGGATGAATGTTGTGAGTAGACAGAACCCAAAACTTTAATTTAAATATAGCTATTTACTGTTAATGATTTAATAAAGATACACCTGCATTTCAAATAAGGACAAACGATAACAATAATTTTTTTTAACTTACAATTTATTTGAATTCTTATCAAAATAAGTATTCAAAGACTGACAAAAACAAATTAATACCTTAAGTACGAATTACCAAATTTTTAATCTTTAAAACAATTTTTTAAAACTTTTCCAAATAACAAGCACAGTGTTATACTGTATTATTAAGGAACATGAACATTTGTCCAACCCTAAGGCATAGTTCAATGAAAGGGAACGTTTTTTGAAAACGAAAGAGAACCAGAAGAAAAATGCATTTACCTGTTTACATGGTAAGCTGATTTGTAACAGCCAGAATCTTGCCCTTCAACTCCTTCTTTCCTAAACCTAGCAAAACTTGCTGAATGAAAAGAAAGGTGTTGCCCATGCACTTTGGGTAGCCTAGGTGCAGTGCATAAGTTAAACCAAAAAGAAGACACATGGCCTGGGGTATGTTGTCTAAATTGTCCATTACAACATTCCCCTCCAAAATGATTCCCACCGAGGATGGGTGGAGATGGATGGACAGGGGTTGCAGAGCCACATCTTCATTTTCTAAGCTGAGGATTCCAACTGGCACATGTTGGTACGAGTCTCCATCATCAGAAGCCTGGGCAAGAGATTGGAGATTACTAAAATACATTTTAGCAGTGTACAGTTTTTGTCTAGATATTAATTTTACTGGACATTTTTGTTTAGTTGAATGCAAGCATTTTTTTTTTATTTATTATGTACACAGGTGTATGCAGGAGTTCAGTTATATTTAAACATTAAGTATGTTTTTCTTTTTGTATACAAGTCTTTGCATATGACATGAATTACTGATTAAACTAAAACTTTATGAGATTAACCTTAATTGTATTTTAGTGTTTCAAAGGTGTCATGACATTAATTTAAATTTCTCCTGAATTATTTAAAATTAAAACTTCCTCCTCATTGACACTCATTTCATTCAACATTTTTGTAAAATATAACTGTTAACAATATAATTGTTTTTGGTGTTTTTTTATTGTTCTTACTAACATAAATGCACAGTAAGGTTTACATATTTCCAGCAGAAAATATTATATTAAACCTATGACAGTAAAAAGGCATTAATAATACTTACAAAGCATGCTTTGAAGAACTCAGTTGGGTCATCACCAAGAAGTACTGGAAGCCCTCTCATGGCAACACATCGCATGTCAACGAGATCAGAGGTCTGAGGTGTGGTGGTTGCATAGAAAACATTGTATCATTTGTCAACATGAAAGGAAGGCAATTTCTATGAATCATACTTTTGACTGTTGCTTAACAGTCTTAAAGAGTTAGTTTACCCCAAAATTAAAATTCTGTCATTATTTACTCACCCTCATTTTGTTCCACACCTGTAAGACCTTTGTTCATCTTCAGAACACAAATTAAGATATTTTTGATTAAATTTGAGAGGTGGATCACTGCTACATAGGCTGCCTAAGGGAATGAAACTTGACGGCCCAGAAAGTCAATGAAGAAAATGTTTAAATATTCCATGTGACTACAGTGGCTCGACTATAAGTTTATCAAGCGACGAGAATACTTTTTGTGCGGAAATAAAACAAAAATAACGACTTTATTCGAATATTTTTTCTTCCTTGTAGGCCTGAAACGAGACTTCAAGAGATTTCCACGACGCACGCACGAGAACTTAACTGAAGTAGTTGAAGGAGATCGCAATTCTCGCGCATGCGTCGTGGAAATCTCTTGAAGTCTCGTTTCAGGCCTACAAGGAAGAAAAGGAATAGTCGAATAAAGTCGTTATTTTTGTTTTATTTCCGCACAAAAAGTATTCTCGTCGCTTGATAAACTTATAGTTGAGCCACTGTTGTCACATGGAATATTTAAACATTTTCTTCATTGACTTTCTGGGCCGTCAAGTTTCATTCCCTTAGGCAGCCTATGTAGCAGTGATCCACCTCTCAAATTTAATCAAAGATATCTTCATTTGTGTTCCGAAGACGAACAAAGGTCTTACGGGGTTGGTACAGCATGGGGGTGAGTAATTAATGACTTAATTTTTATTTTTGGGTGAACTAACCCTTTAAGCAAACAATGGCATCAACTTAAATGTACAAACCTTGGCTTGTTGCAGAAGATCGCTCAAAATCTGCCCGGCGAGACCTCTCTTTGACCTGAAGATCTGAATCAGTTGAGGACAGTGACGATCAAGAGACCCATAAAATTCTTGCTTGAGGTTCTTCCCAACCACCCGGTTGAATTCTTGATACACCTGAAATAGTAAAGGAAAAAAGCATTTGTTACGAGAACTGTCAAAAATGAACAAATTTCAAATTAATATCTAACCATCATGTTTATCAATACTCATTTCAGTACAAATGTTGCAAACATAGGCATTTCCCTTTACCTGACTTTCTCTAAAAAGTGCTGGCCAACGTTGGAGTATTTGGCTTACAGGAGGCTTGTTGATCACAACATCCTTTCTCCTCAAGGACAGAGTCATGTCCATCTTCTGATTAATAAAGACAGCATCAGGGTTTTTTTTCTTCATTTCATCCACCAATTGCTGTCTGAGCATTTCAAGACTGGAAGCATCCTGCCCATCTGGGAGGTCAGGTAAGTAGTTGACCTCCCCTTTCCTTGGCTTTTTAATGTTCTTGTTAGGTGGATCACTGCTCGTAGAGTATCTTCCTCTTTTCCCAGCATTAACCATGACGTCTGTGTGTCCAAGGCTCCTCATTTTGGATCGGTAATTTCCCATTTTGTCTTTCAAACTGTTTGTCCATCCACAGTATCCAGAAGGTGATCCTGGTTCTTGAAGGCAGGGGTGAGTATTGACCAGTGCCTTTGCAACAGCTCGTAGATCCTCAGTAGTTGGGTATGCTTTGAATGAATATATGGTCTCTGCAAGTTTCTGAAGAATGTCATGTTTTAATTCCTTTGTCACTTTTAGGTGCGTTCCATCTTTCAAGTAGATTAAATTTGATTGACGCAGCCTAAATTCAACATCGACAGAGAATTTTGGAGTCAAAAAGATATCAGGCCATGGCATTCTCTTTTCCTGGGGTAAATCCGAGGTCAATACTGTCTCTGCAGTACTTGGAGCATCACTCAACATATCACTTGATGTCTCCATTTCACCTGAAGAGACTGGCACCAATTCAATCACCGGTATGATTTTCACAGTTGGCTTCTGAGGGAGCTCTGACAAAACGGTCAGATTGCAAAGTTCGTTATCAAACTCGGGATCTTGAAACTGTAAAGTAAAATTGTAGTCCAGTCTCAGAGTGTTTTTTAAACAACTAATTAATTCTTCAACTGAGCCTGGCTTTGATGTCAGCTTTACTTTTCTGATATCAGCTTCCGTAAGAATAACTCGCAAAGTCACGATTTCTTTAGAAGCCATCTGGAAGGAAAGTACAAAAGAGAGTTCATTTAGCAAAGAATAAAACGCTTCAGTGTCACCATCAGTTTACCATGTACACTATAGGCTGAAAGTGGAAGAATATCATTCAGGTCTTCAAGCTGAAGTATGCAAAAAGATGGCACATCTGGGCAGCAAAGCTCAAAAGAACGAAGGTGCTCAAAATACCATGATGTCATCACTTTGCACACAAAAAGTACCTCTGTATTCACTGCAACAATGTGAGTAATTTGCTTAAAATCAGGTAGCCCCGAACATGATCCAGCTGAAAGTATCATGTCTGTCTTACAATCAGTCCCATTAATACAGACAGATGGTGCAACAAGAAGTGCTTGAGCATGAGGGAGTTTTTGACCAAGTGCTCTTTGAACGTTCTCTGGAAAGGAGGTAACTAACACTGGTGTAACCTTAGCCATTTCCACGTCCAGCTTGAAAAAAGAACTGCAGTCTAGCTGATGGCTAAGAGCCCTCTGATGTTTCAGTGCAAGTGTCATGGCAACATTCTTGAAGTTATGGGCATCACGTATAACCTTTTTGAAAAACTTATGTTTTCCTTCAAAACGCATTGTCCAGACTTCAGTAAGTGGACCATGAACCCTAATCTGTTCAGCGTAGTGTTCAATATAGTGGTGTTTTGGTCGCAGTGTAAAGTCAGGGAAGGTTGACTGCAGAAGGTCCCTATGCTCTGCTACTTTGTAGTCAAGGATGTATAAAGACTCTTCATTAAACTGAGGTGCCACAACTAATGCAACAATGTCCTTGAGGAGCATGAGTATTTCCCATGTGTTGTCACCCTCAGGAATGTTATGGCCAATAAGCAGAGGAAGAAGCCTAATTAGACACCAATTCTCATGGCCATTTCCCCCAATTGTGCCCTTGGTTGAGAAGGTCTTTGAAATCAGCTGAGGCTGATCAGTTTTGTCAGCAAATGTATAAGGAAATGATCTGATAGCTTCATTCAACACATCTAAGGTGATGTATTTCTTTGCTATCAGGTCTTTGAGGCAAAGAGACAACTCAACTGGGACTATTCCCTCAAAGACATCATGCAATATGTCAGGGGGATAACCACCAATGACATGAAAATGCTCCAAACTTGCTGTGAGTGGGCATTGGCTTTTCACGCCTGTGTTTCTAGCTGAATTTGGATCCTGCAATGTTTCTTGCACATGCCTGTTGTGTTTATCTCTCTCTCTGAGTTGAAATGCGCCAGATTTTACCTCTTGGTGCTGTGTGTCAATCCTGGATGCCATGCAAAATCTGCAAAACTTGTCCACAATGAAGCTTTCATAAAATCCTGCAAGAGAATGGGCACCGAGGTTATCTGCTGACACAAAGAGTACTGTCCCTTTAACACTTCTACCAAGATGCTCAATGTAGACCCCATGCTGTTCGAGAGTGGCTAAATCACAAAGAAGTGGGTACAGAACTCTTTCATAGCCACACTCTTTAACTGTTTCAGTGTTGCACAGGAGAGCAAGCTGAATTGAGTTTAGTGAGGATCTGTATTTTCCATGCAAGTTTGCAATAACCCAATAAAGTGCACACATCTTGTGTTTTCTTTTAGATGTTCCTAAAGGGTTAGCCACTTCGAAATCATCAATGTACAGACCCAGAGCGATTGTGAATTCATCACAACTAAGAAGTGCATTCTCTCTAAAGTTTGAGCCATCACTACATGTCCTATATTCATGCGTTTTATGTGCTTGTTTTGACATAGCCTTATCCAAAATGTCTTTCTTGTTTAACAGTTTTTGTAGCATCTGCAAGAGGGGAACGTATGCTACTGTTTTTCTTCCTTTCTCAACAACAAACTCTATAGGCATTACCAGAGGAAAGTTACGCATTACATATGATGCTCTCCTTTTACTAGTAGCAAGACATCCATTTTTTCCACATGATTTGGACAATATGTCACTGTCTGCCACAGTCTCAACCACCTCTTTCAAAACTGACTCATCTACATCTCCAAAGTGTTTCTGAAGAACAGTCTTCACATTCTTGTGCAAAAGTGGCAGGGACAACTGAACTATTTGGCAAAGCTGTTGAATTACTTCCTGAACTGAGTTCTCTGGCACGTGAAGGATGGTTTGCATTTTTAAAAAAAGAGCTCCTAAATTATGTTCCAATTGTTCTACTAAATCTTGAGATTGTGTTTCGCTTGCTTCTGCATTGAAATCATCTTGGCCAAATTCATCTGGAAGCATCTCCTCCACAGCAAATTCCTGGGTGTCATTTACACTGTCATCAGTTTCATTCTCATTACTCTCTATTCTTACTATTAACTCCGGTTTAAACATTCTCTCATTTTGATCTTGGTGATGCTTACTTTTGTGTGCACAGAACGTGGAATATACACTGCTTTCAAAGCTACAGCCTTGAAATGGACATTGAACTTTTTGGTTGTCTTTGAGATGTCTACGCCGAAGGTGGGCAAAATATTCAGTAATCTGACAGGGTTCAAAAAAATCACAAAGTTGACAGCGAAACTTAGCTTCAAATTTTGCCTCTGATTGCTGTTTTTCAGTTGCTGTATGAAAACGGGATAAGTGTATTTTAAGGCTATTGAAAGACTTAAAACTACATAAACATTCTTGATATAGGCATGGAAAAGGCTGGCTTCTTGCATAGCTCCCATGTTTAAGTCTGTAATGTTTTAACAAGTATCCTCTTTTGTCACAAGCAAATATGCAATACTTACATTTCCAGATCATCTTGCTTAGCCTCGCTTTGAACTTGAATCTGCAGAGTAACAAAAAACATTAGATTGCTTTGTAGGCCTACATTACAAGAATTTTTTTTTTTTTTGATCTGATATCTACAAAATTTATATCCAAAATAAAATACTAGCTATTCATTTTTTTATTTAGCATGTCATGATACACTAGACTCGTATTAACTGAAATGAACTAGCTAACACCACGCTGATGAGCACGAGGTTGAATTTTTTTTTGGCTAGACTACATAACTAACGTTACATGGGCTAGTTTTTCTTGCAGGCAGTCGAATTTCAATTTAAGCTAACGTTATTTGTTTAATACTCACTCACAAAGAAATGTAAAATAAACTAAAAGGTTAATGATAAACGTGCGCTGTATTTAAGCCATGTTGAACATTTCTAATATGGCAAACTGCCAAGATGCAAAAACACCATCGAAAAAAAGATATCGTTTTACACAACAGACGACATTTTCGTTCATTTGTTTAATGAGAATTATTGATCAAAAAAGGTTAAGCATTAGATTTTAAATGTGACGATCCCAAAAAGCATGTCGTATCAGAACTAACTTATAAAAGTGTCGGTTGACTGATCAACCGGGATCAATGATCGATTCAACACGATGGCGAACACATGTAAACACAGCTTAAACTTACATATAGTTTTACTGGCTAAATCTTATACATCTCATTTATCTATGTGTTATAACGTATTCGCAGTTTCAGACCAAAATGTACTACTACTCACCAGCAAACGTGCATGATGAAAGCCAGATGATCAGATGAAAATGCGCGCTCCATCCATGTCTGACGTCAGTTCAAAGAGCCAATCAACATCTTCCTTGTATAGCGTTGCATTGACAACAGACTAAAATAAGCTAAGTTAAGTACATTCAATCTAAACAATTCAATAGAATGAAAAGCATCATGCAAATCGTAAAACAAACTAAAAACGTGGAGTAATTGTGCAAACATTTTGGAGTTTATGTTTATTGTACCTAAGTAGTTTGAATTAAAACAATTTCAGGGATAACAGTGTAAAGCCAAGCTACTTACTACTTTATCTAACTCATCAGAGGCAATATCAGCATCACAGCGCGCTACATCTTCATCATCTATATGGGGAATAACATCTTTAATATGGTTGAAAAATTAAATTTCATCGTCCAGAGAAAATGTTGAGGAATATAAATTGCTGTAAAAAGAAACAACTTCTTTAGTTATTGAAGTTGGTCTGTAATTACCTGATCCTGAAGTGATAAAGCTTTAATTGAAAGTTTCTCTTGCCTTCTTTTTTCTAAACGACAGAAGTATGAGGCACTTCTTTCCCCATCCTCAATCCATTTAGCTCTGGACCTGATAAAGGCCTTCCGCTTTACGGAGATAGATTTCATCAAGCTTGTTTAGAAGATTTTGTCATTTCTGTTTATCATTATCAGTAGGTGAAGTTTTATTATAATAAATATTTATATCTTTAATAATATTCATTTCAGATAATCTGTTACTTCTATTAGTTGTTTTTCCAAAATGAATAGAATATTCTCTCATTTTAAATTTAAGGAATTCCCATTTGGAGATATAAGATACTATCGAATTATCAGACATCACATTAGAAATCGTGGCTTTGATACCTTCATAAAATGAATGGCTTTTTAATAAACTAGAATTGAATTTCCAGTATCCTTCATTCTGTCGGCTAACACCAGGAGGATTAAAACACAATTTAATAACAGCGTGATCTGTGAGAGGAGCTGCTGTGAGAACGGGTCTTTTCTTTTAGGTTTCTCGGTGGAATCCACATCCATCCTTCCAGCATACTCGTTGCTGCGTGATAAAGCCAGATTCTTTTTCTTCGACGTCATGGTGTACAAACTTTTCCGGAGGTTCCGTTTTATTTGTAGATTCAAAAGGAGCACAATATGGCAATTTGGATAGCGATCTGTGTTAAAATCTGGGACAGGCCTAGAGAGCTCAAACCATGCAATGCACCCGATCCGCCATCTTGCCGGACTCCCCACTTCTCATTTCTTATTTGTGCCTCCTCGTTTCCTTTCCTCGCTTCCTTTCCTCGCGTCTCAGCTCCACCCCCTGCAGGATGCGAGGGAAGGCTGCAAGGAAAGAAAATGAGGACGGAGGAATTGAATTAAAGTTTTTTTATACTTTGGAATACTTGATCACTCGAGCGTCACTTCACTGCGTCATCAGCAGCGCTCAAAGGATCTGCCCTTATGTTGTTGAAGTTTGGCTATTTAAGAAATTAGTAATAAATAATAATAAAGCAAGATACCCTGTTGAAATATGTGAGATGTGTGGTTTATATAAACTGCAATGGTAAAGTATAAATTAAAATGATTGTGTCCGACGTGAAGGGGGAGGAGAATTGATTCGTGCGTCACGTTAAGTCGATAAAACACTTCCGCAAAGCATGCAACTGTGTATCCTCGCTCATAGCTCCTCTGGAAGCCTCCTCACTCCTCGATCCTCGCCTCCTCGCGGTGCAATTAGAGAATTGAGATGTCCTTCAAGATGGCTGAGCTCGATCGGTTTCCGGGTCATAGGATGGAGGACGGAGGAGCGAGGAGACGAGGAGGGATATTGAGAAGCACCCCAGGAAGCAGTTCAATAGCTAGTGAACCCTAGCCGTTTCTCAATACCAAGTACGCAAACTTCGGACTTGCGTCCTTGGTAGTTCGGACTTGCCAAGTTCGACTCAGGAGAACGAACTCCCGAGGACGAGAGGACGCGAGTCCGGTTCTTCTGCAAATGGAACAGTGCGTTCTTGATCTCGTCACTCAGCACGCTCTGGCTACTCCAGTTATCTCTTTATGTATATTTTAGGCAACAACAACAATAAAACGAAATATGCTACAACTCTGCATCTTTTCGTCAACAATAAAACGAAATATGTTATAAATCACCACTCTGCCTCTTTTCATAAAAAAAAAAAAAAAATCAACATATTATAGCCTAATGGCCATGTGGTTCAGGCAACGCGATTCTCTTCACTGCATATTAACCAAATGAACATGATCTTTTTGTTTTCATTTAAAAAAATATGAAACATTGATTTTTATTGACATTTATCAAACAGAGACAGGGTTGTGTCATTTTATTTTATTGTTCACATAGTGAAGATAATGTAAAAAATGTTGTTAAAGTTAAATAGCCATAAAGTTATGAAACTTCAAAAACTATTTTTTTTTTTTTTTTTTGCCATGGAACAAACTATAGTTTTATGAGACCAAAGATAGACAAATTATATGTCAACTTTATCCACTAGACTAGAGAGATCAGAGCCAGCGGCAAACGTCAGAAGCACAAGCCGAGGATAAGCTGTTCCAGTCGGGGTTGATCTCGCTGAGTGTCCGGTGAACGCCTGGATGTCACAACTCCGACAACGCCAGATGCATTTTTCAAATAGGCGCTATCTTTATAATTAAACTACAGATTTGAGATTTAAACAACCACATTCTCGCCTGAAACACTCTTAAAATTACATTTCATGACACAATAACAGTAGTATTTTGATATTACGCGGGTTTTCTCCTCTGCTATTGACGCTTGCTGGTTGGTGCGAGATGCATTCTGGGATACCTGGCTGTCTCAAGTCCACACAAGTCAGCTCTCGATGCATCCTCGGTAAACGGGGCGGATCAAGAACACATCCGGGGATTTGAACTGGACTTGGCTAGATGTGAACTTTGAATTGGAACAGTATTTGGGCAGCGACTGATGACGTTTCACAAGTCCACAAGAACACAAGTACAGACAAGAACGCATATTGAGAAACGGCTATGTATTGGGCAAGAAATATCAATACGTGATGAGGAAAAAGCAGAAATGTTTAGAAAAGAATTCTCAAAAATAAATAGTTCAGATAATTTGATGAAGGAGTGTAAGGAAATGAGGGAGAGGTTGTTAAAAGAACATCCATTTATTTTAGAAAAAAAGACTTAGTTTTCTAGATGTGCCTTTTTCATATTCAGAATTAAAGAGGGCATTAAAAAACACTAGAGATTCAACTCCTGGACAGGATGGAATTAGTTATGTAATGTTAAAAAAGTGAAGTGATGAATCTCTTAAAATTATTCTAGAGTTTTATAACAGCGTATGGGAAGAAGGGATTTTACCTAAGAGATGGAAAGAAGCAGTAATATTTCCCATTAAAAAAAAACAGGTAAAGATCCAAGTATCCCTTTAAACTACAGACCGGTAGCATTAACATCACATCTAGGTAAAGTTATTGAAAAAATGATTACAGATCGCTTAATGTATCATATGGAGAAGAAGAATATTTTTCCCCATATCAAAATGGTTTTAGACATGGAAAGAGTACAATGGACTCAATTGTTAAATTGGAATCAGATATAAGGAAAGCATTGATAAATAAATAAACTCTAATAGCGCTTTTCTTTGATGTAGAAAAAGCTTATGATATGTTATGGAAGGAGGGTTTGTTGATAAAGTTAGATCAAATTGGAATAGAAGGAAAAGGATATAATTGGATTAAAGAGTTTTTAATTGAAAGGAATATTAAAGTGAAGATTGGAGAATATATATCAAGGAAAGGAATAATTGAGAATGAAACTCCTCAGGGTAGTGTTATACGTCCTTTGTTGTTTATTATTATGATTAATGATGTATTTGCAACAATAGATAAGACTGTAAATAAATCGCTGTCCGCGGATGATGGAGCTCTGTGGCTTAGAGGTAGGAATGTAGAGTATATTGGTAATAAAATGCAAGCAGTTTTAAAAGATGTTGAGGAATGGTCTTACAAATGGGGTTTTAAATTCTAAGTGGAGAAAACCAAATATATATTTTTTACAAATAAAAGGTCAAGTATTGATCTAAAGATTAATTTATACAACAAAGAGATAGAACAAGTTAAAGTGATAATATTTTTAGGTATGTGATTTGATGCAAAGGTTACATGGAATGTACACATAAATAAGATGCAGGATAAATGTAAGAAGATTTTAAATGTAATGAGGTGTATTTCAGGACGAGAATGGGGAGCTGATAGGGTTGCATTAAAAACAATGTATTCAACAATGATAAGAGCAGTATTAGATTATGGTTGTATCGCATATGGAACAGCAACTAAGTCACAGTTAGGAAAATTAGGACGAATTCAATCACGAGCTTTGAGAATATGTTGTGGAGCTTATCCTTCCTCGGTAACACTTTATTTTAAGGTGCTTGTAATAAGCAGTAATTAACAGTTAATAAGACACTTATAAGATGCATATAAGCATTAACTACTTCATATAAGGGTTAATTAAAGGTCCAGGCCCTGAAGAGATCAGGGAAACGACTCCCTCTTGGGAAGGTCAATTTTTAAGCGACTGGGAGTTTGTGTTCCCATTTATGTTTGTTCGGCTGTTCTAAAAGTGCAATGTATTGATACTTGAGAAATTTATTATTTAATTTAATTGATTTATTATCATTAGTTAATGCTTATATGCATCTTATAAGGTCTTCTAAGTGTCTTATTAACTGTTAATTACTGCTTTACAAGCACCTTAAAATAAAGTGTTACCCCTTCCTCTCCTGTTCCAGCTTTACAGGTGGAGATGGGGGAGATGCCAATTCACTTAAGAAGGAAGCAATTTATACTGGCATACTGGGTAAACCTAAAAGGGCAGAAGGATAGTCATCCAACAAAAGGTATACTTGAAACATGTTGGGAATATGGGAAAGGGAAAGTTAACAGTTTTGGTTGGATTATTAAGGATTAAGTTCAGAATATGAAATTAAATGAGTATAGAGTTATTCCAGCAGTAATATTACCAACAACACCATTATGGATTTTACCTCAACCAAATGTAGATCTATTCTTATTGGAATCAAGACAAGATAAAAATCAGAGGATGTTGGAAGC